ACTTCAAAATACAACTATGCGTTAGTTGATTCAAGAAAACTATTGTTAGAAAAGCAAAATTTTACAATGTTCATTAAACGAACTGCTCTTCATTATCGACATATTAAATAAAGTTTGTTTTGCTTCTTTATCGATCTCAAAAACACAACTGCAAAATCATAAAAAAGTGAACAAGAACATTCAACTTAGATTTGAACCGTGTTCATCTGCGTGAGAGCCAGCTATCTTAAGGCCTGCTCTACGCATCACAAGTTAAATGTATGTGGATTTATGATGATCACTTGAAACCAAATTATATAAATAAATTACATTTGACGGTTGTTATAATTGATCAAATTATAGTTGAATTGAGTATAAGATGAACAGTTGAATCTATTAGGTAGATATGATTGAGTTGACGGTCAAATTAATGTTGGAATAACTATAGGTTTCTTTCAAACAACAATATTTTTCCATGTGAAAGTAACTATTAGGATTGTTATCTTAACTTAACGTATTTGGTCTCCGTGTATTAGGATTGTTATCTTAACTTAACGTATTTGGTCTCCGTGCTTCGCTATTCCCTAGATAACTTCCTCAAAACAGAATCAAAGTTTGATTCGAATATGGAGTGTCAATAAGCGTTCGATCGATTCAAGTAGATTATTACTTCGGACCTGCTGCTTACACACTTTGATCCGAAAAAGGAGATCATCACGTCCGCCGATGCTTCATCAGTCGGTCTCGGGGCCACAATCCGTTATAAGTTCCCCGATGGCTCCATCAAGGTGGTGCAGCACGCCTCGAGAGCACTCATCAAGGCGGAGCAGAACTACAGTCAGCTTTATAGAAAAGGTCTTCGCTGTCACAAAGTTTCACAAAATGATCATCGGTGGGCGTTTCCGCCTTCAAACCCACCACGCTCCATTGATTCGAATCTTCGGCTGTAAGAAAGGTATCCGGTGTATACGGCTAACCGGTTGCAACGTTTTGCCCTCACGTTACTGTAGTGACCGAGTTTTGTCACCGAAACACAAACACGTCCATCCGTCCAAAGAATAGTCAACAGAATAACGATTAGTTTGCATTCCCGTCGTTTAATCCTGATCATTGAGCAGGTGCCAGCCTGCTCTCATAGCAAACGCAAGCCTATCTCTATCTCCCTGACTCCCTCATGGATCCGAGCCTGCCTCTCGATATTATCGCCTCACAATCGTGTCTTCGAAAGCACGCTCGCCTCCTGACACGCATCATATTCGTGCTTCCGAATGCACGCTCACATTCAAGCAGTCAACCTACTTGTTTATATCGATCAATGTCGACTATACGCTAAATATAAACTACTTAAACCTTGTTTATTGTATATCATATTCGTAACCAATTTAAAAGTTATCTATGAACAGGTACAAAATAATGGCTTCCTAGATAAAAAGTATACTGCATCAAATCAACTAAATCTCTCATATTTGTCCAAGTGACCAACTTCCAATCCTATACACTACAGTTACTTCTATACGACTTCGATATCGAGTACCTCCCGATTGAGAAGTTCGGCCACGACGACCTGCTGTTTTGGCTGATTAGCCAGCATGCGAAGCCAGAAGATATCTCGTCAGTAGCCGCGGATTCACTTTCAGAGTCGTCGCGCAAAGCACTCGGCTGATCCACTTATGGGCAAGGTCTACCGACTGGTCGCAATCTAAGCAAGTCGAACCGGAGCTCAAACGATTCTACGCCAGACAGGAATCCTTCACCGTAGTGGATGGGTTCATTTTATTTGCCGATCGACTCGTCATTTAATCGAAACACCAAAAACGATGCTTGGATCACCTTAATCAAGGTCCAATCGATGGCGACTATTTCTTAATCGTCGTTGACTCCTACTCCAAGTGGCCTGAGATTGTCAGAACGCACAGCATTACCTCGATATCCACAATTTCCATCTTGCCTGGACTATTCGCTCGACTGGGGATGCCAGTTACACTGGTCTCGGACAACGGAACACAATTCACCAAGGTGGAGTTTGTAAAATTCTGTGTAACCTCACGATGGCCCCGTTCCATCCACAATCAAGCAGAGCGTTTCATGGATACATTCAAAAGGGACGTCAAGAAGATCCGAGAGGTGAGAGGAATAATGGATGAAGCAATCGATACGTTTCTGCTTACGTACAGGGCACGCCAAATAGCTCTGTACCAGAAAACAAAACTCTGTCAGAGGCTTTGTTCGGCCGTAAAATCCGAACCAGTCTCGAGTTGTTACGGTAACCGCCCATGCCCATGGCAGTTCCAGAAGAGCGGAAAGAACAGAAGCGACGATCGTTTAACCGTGACGATGCTGTCTACGCCAAGGAGTAAACCAAAAACACCTGGAAATGGGTACCTGGCATTGTTCTCGAGAGAATCGGCAACGTAATGTATAACGTGTGGACCGATGCTCAGATGCTGCGCTCGCACGTCAACCAGTTGCGTAGTCGAAACCCCATTAGTTCGTATACCAAGTTACCAGTCAGACAAGCCATGAGCTCACACTTTTCATTTCTGTTGAACGTCCTAATGTCTGCCTGGAGCCTACCCCAGCCACCGTCGTCGTTTGCACCGGAAGAGCCCGTTCAATCACCAACATGGCAAGCCTCTAGCTCAGCATCAACTGCAAATCCGATGACGCCTTAATCATTGCCACCGTCACCGAGATGTGGTCCATCAACGACTACGAGTACGTCGATGTCGTCAATGTTTCCTACGACAGCAGCTACAGCAACATCAACTTAGTTCGAGATAGCAGCTGAAACCGAACCGGTAGAAGTTCTACCTCGGCGCTCTTCCCGTCTTCGTAGGTAGCCTCGATGGTTTGACCCATACCAGCTCTATTAAGAGGGAAGGTGTTACAGACAACGAAAATGGATTTGGCAACACTGATAAATAAATAAATAAATAAATAATAAATAAAAATACAAAAAACTGTAATGGTCTACGATTGATGGATGACGAATAAATAAATAAAATAAAGATATGTTCAAGGGCTCCTCTCTTATTAATTTTTATTTAAAATAATAAGCAAATTATTCTAAAGAAAATGCTTGAGAACATTTTAATAAAATCCTGTAAAAAAATTTGTCAGGGTAGTTAAAACAAGACTTTGAACGCAGAACCAAATTCACGGTCAAAATGCTGCCCATTTAACCTATAGTCGCTTTATTCATAGTCTGGCGGATAGAATCTCGGGAACCAATTGAGCTGTCAAATAGCGGAACCAATCGAGCAAATCACGACCATCAACAGAAAAGAGCACATCAGCTATTGCGAACAAAACTTCGGAAACCCTTTTCTCGTGACTCAAGTCTCGCCAACACAAACTAACACCATCTTTAAATTGGCGAAAGTTTCCCCTATCCGATGATGCCGGTAGTTTGCGTTCGATTGGCGAAGAAAGAATAATCAACGCTTTGTGTAGAAAATTTCATAGTACCTTTTCAATTGTTTGTCTAAACTATATTGAATTGGTTCCGCTTTATGATAGATCGAAATTCTATCCACCCGACTATGAATATAGCGACTATAATTTAACCTAGCGATCTCGGTTTTATGCTTAATTGTACATCACACAACTGTGAAAATTTCCAAATAAAAAAAAACGGGAATAATCCGGGAAATTGTCAATCGGGATTTACTGTTCACACACTAAGATTATTTTACAGATTTCTGTAAAATTTTACCGAAATCTCAACAGCTGAACGTTTGGTATTTTTTTACAGTTTTCCTGTAATTATTTACAGATACCTGCGAAACTTTTTACCGAACGTTCAGCTGCTGAGATTTAGGTAAAATTTTACAGATTTCTGTAAAAATTTCTAAGTGTGACCATGCAATAATAGCAAAAGGAAAAATAATAATAATAAACTAGGTTGTTGAATATTACATCCAAACAGCTGCACAGAGGTATTTCCGCTGGTTGTGTAATATTACGTTGCATGATGTACATCAATTTTGCAAACAAAATTACATCCATTATTGTAATATTCTATCTGGTTTTTGCATTATTTCATATATCAGCTTGAATTACGTTAAAAAAAAATATTACATTTTGTTATGCTGTGCTAATAAGAAGAAGAAAACTCCACGTTCAAAAGCATCCCATTACAAAATTTTGAAAATGAACAAAACATTGTTCTAAAATGACATGTAAATGCTAAGCAACAATAAAACAATGGTAAGTGTTAGTGTGCCATTTTTTGACCCTAGTGGTCCTCTAATTAACCATTTAATTCGAGCAGATGAAAATGATGTTTCCTACCACTCGAACTTCGAAATAACACAACATTTTGAAGGGTTTTCTTCAAGAACCACGAGAAAAGTAGCCAAAAGTAGTGCGTTTCATAGCAAAATAGTAATTTGTTGGTCCAATTTTGTGAAATCACTGGTAGAAAGTCACGATAAAACTGCTTGACAAAGTGGTCCATTGGCAGTATCTTAAATTTCATTTTTTATAATTCCTTCCTAAATTTATTTCGATGCAATATATTTATTTTGCCATATATCTACGCAAATAAAACCATGAACATTTGTTTCAAATTTGAGTTAGACATTAAAGCCATAAATTGGAGCAATAGTGCCATAACTGGAGCACTTGTGCCATAACTGGAGCACTAGTGCCATAACTGGAGCACTAGTGCCATAACTGGCATACTTATTCTATTGAAAATAAATTTGAATGAAAGTTCCTGTTTACTTCGCTACCAATGCAGTGAGAATTAAATATAAGCGCGCATGACAATTCTTACGAGTGCACCCACGTTAAATTCTTCTTTTTGAAAACGTGCGCACATGACCATCAATGATCGATACCGAACACGATAGTTCTTAATGATTATTGAATTTTCATATAATGAAGAAATATAAGATGCACAATTACACGAAATTTATTTGACTGCTGCCAACCAAGCTTATTTTTTAGGGTACTCGGTATAAATCCTAAACTGTTGTTCTGGATCTTTCAAGGGAACCTAATTTATTGTTACTTACCACGGAAATCGTTCAACAATTTTGAATTTATTGGCTCATCTACTAATTTTACTGAGAAAGGAAATGTTTCCTCATTTTGATTGTTATTAAATTCCATAATGGTACACGCTTGGAGTTAAAAAGTGTCTTTCGGTCGATGGTTGAAATGAAACTGATGTGAATCATGTGGAATCAAAGTATGATGCTGTCCATACAACCAGCGAGTCGCTTTCGTGTTCCACTTATTGTCTTGGTTACATAGTATATGAACATCTCAGCATATTGTGTTTCGTGGATCAGTGAATTATGCAAGACTGCTGAGTAAAGCTTAAAGTGAAAGTTTATGTCAGCAGTTTGAAGAATATGATGATGAATAGCAAAAGACGGTATAATAGGTCGCGCTATTGGCATAAAATCTGCACTTTGGAATTAGGAATTTAAGATAGAAAAGTGATCATCGATCATCGAGCTTAAATTGTTTGCCTTTACGTACCAACTGGAACTTTAGGCCTACTCTCAACTTGTTGATTTAATGCTTTAAAAAAGGTAACGGTCAGTTTTGTCAGTGACGTTTGACGAAAACCAAAAATAAATTGTCGCGGTACAAAAACCATCATTTCCATACATCCTTCGTCATTGATTAAGAGAAGCCGACAGTAATCCCTTTGAACAAATTCTATCGCATCTTTTACCTTCACTTCTCTTTTTTGTATCATGAATGGACAAAAAAAAAAGCAAATACACTCAGGTCTTTTTTTACACGGGGGATATGTACCGTGTAAAAAAAAACCGTTTAAAAAAAAACCTACGAGATTTTGATTTTTCACATGTTTAAATGTTTTTAAAAAATTGGATTTTGATACCATTTGTAATTAAAGCATGCTATGGTCCATAAAGACATATTTTGAAAATTTCTGTATTTACACCAAAAATTGTGATTTTTTTAAAGTATGCCATTCGATTACCTATAGCTTGCAGATTAGTAACCACACTATAGACCTTTTTGACGTTTAATCGTCTTTCTCTATCTAGCACACAGGGATGAATGGATGGTTTGTTTTCCCACCAATCTGTTTCCCTCTTGCTCACACTCCTTCAATTTAAATGGTACATTAGTGTGCACCGATTAAACGTCAAAAAGCTCTATGATCGCTTCTTTTTTCTTTTAGCCTTTCCATTCTCCGTTGATGGTTCGAATCCGTGTTGTGCCCATTTTAAGTTTTTTGTGTTGCTTCCAACGATAATCATTTTTTGTCAAACAATACGGAACGGCTGACTAAAACGTGCAGTTTTTTATCCTCTCCGAGTAACCGATCGATCTAAGAGATAGAGAACGTACTGAGCTAGTTTTTTTTTCACGACGTAAATGAAAGAGGACTGTCTTCATACGGAATTTGTCATGCGCCGAAGATAGTAATACAATATTTTTCATCACTGACTTTGCTCTCTCTACGTTGATGCAAGACAGCCCGGTTAAAAAAATAGTTGTGTTTCCATATTTAACTGGTAATTCGAGTATTAGTACAAGACACTGAAGAAGTCTGCACATTGTAGACGAAATACGCGTATCTGTCAAGGATAAGCAACTAAAGTAGTGGAATTAAATGGAAAATACTAATCCTTCTCTCTCTCATTATACAGGTATTCCACTAAGACGCCCACATTCATCAGGATTGGTAATTCTTGATAACACCTTTCAGTAGTGAGTGGCTGCACATAAACTGGTTTACATTGATGCACATGTAGTACTTTTCCTGCAACTACTGCTGAGAACCCTGATCTCCTCATTAGACTTGTTACGAATTCCGATGGATTTATTCTCGCTAACGTAAGCTTTGTTTCTAGTAAGGCTTTATCATGCTTACACATTTCAGTCATTACTGAATTATATACCTCATCGATTTTCTGGCCAATAAAATTTTCCACAAGCGTAATTTTGGAATTAAAATATGTGAATCTATCATGGTTCCGTACTGTCGGACGCTTCGTAGCCATTGATGTGTACCGAAAAATTCATTTTTTTTTCACTAATTTAAAACGCGTGCGATTGCGTTAAATTTAGCCAACAGAATGTCCGACGAGCTACAGTCTCCGTGTTAGCAGACAGTGCTGATAGGATTGAATCCTAACGGATTTCCTCCTCCTCAGCTCTATCGATCACCGGCAGTGGACTTGACAACCCTAACCACAAATAGCATCCGCAAGGTGAACCCGAACCTGTAAAAGAAGCTTTTCTCATAGAATCGGAGTGATACCACTACCCGATTATCAAAAATAAAGCATAGATCAACACGGAATAAATTCAATTAATCATCGACCTTTATTCATCTGTGTTTCATCTCAAAATTACATCTTTACATAGTTCTGGGCAACATCCTATCCTAGCTTGGTAATAGAGCACTAGTGATTGCTGTGAACATTCTGGTGTATACCATGCACCTGGTAAGCACAGTGTACACTAATCTCCTCTATCCTGCACTCTAAATATATTTTACTTGAAATGGTTCAGAATCAACTCACACGGAAAGATTAAATTAATACTCCAACACTTCCCCTCAATTAATCATTCCTAGTGTGTCCAATAGCTTAATAAATCTCCCTTTTGGCAATGGTTTTGTAAAAAGGTCTGCTAACTGATTTTCACTTGGAATATACTTAAGTAACATTTGCTTATCTTTGATCAAACTTCTTACATACATATACTTTACGTCTATATGCTTCGTACGTTGATGCTCTCGAGCCTCTTCAGCAATGCGAATACAAGGTATACTGTCTTCATACATTGTGTATGGGACTAAATTGATCCCAATCTCACGCAGTAAGTTCGACATCCATACACCTTCCTTCGCGGCATGACACAAGGCAACGAGCTCGGATTCGGTTGACGACAAACTGACGATTTGTTGCCGCTTACTTCCCCAGGAGACCGTATTTCCGTATATGGTGAAGACACATCCGGAGTTTGACTTCCGTTCCTCCAGATCGTTCGCAAAATCGGCGTCCGAATATCCTCGTAATGGCACATCATCTTTGTCTCGAGTGTACATCATCTTCATGGATTTGGTACCTTGAAGATAGCGCAGGATCCTTTTGAGTCCATCCCAATGTTCCTTTCCAGGCGAGCTCTGAAATTGACTTAAAATACTCACAGCAATGGTTATGTCAGGCCTTGACATTATCGTCAAGTATTGCAAAGAGCCTAGTAGCTCTTTAAAGGGTTCATCAGTAGGAATGTTTGATTTCTTCCACTTACAGTTTACATCCATAGGTGTAGCCACCGGTTTACAATCTTTCATACCAAACCTTGCCAATACCTTTTCAATGTATGCTTGTTGGGATAATTCCAGTGTACCATTATCTAGACAACGCGTAATATCCAACCCTAGGAAGCTACTTACTTCCCCAAGATCTTTCATCTTAAAGCTTTCCGACAATTTTTCTTTGATCCACTTTATCTGACCCATATCCTTTCCAAATATAAGGATATCATCAACATAAAGAATAATGTAAAGTCCTCGTCTAGCACAATAATAGAGGCAGCTATCCGAATTTAATTTATGAAACCCCAGTTTCGTAATAGTCTCATCAAATTTATGATTCCAACTCCTTCCTGCCTGTTTGAGACCATAAATGCTCTTGTTAAGCTTACAAAGTTCAATTTGTCCATGTTCATTTGGAGGAAGTCTCATGTATATCTCTTCTTGTAGTGAACCATTCAGGAATGCCATCTTTACGTCCATTTGATGTATCAACCAATCCTTTTTGACTGCAATCGAAAGCATCACTCGAACCGTAGTCATCTTGGCAACCGGCGCAAAGGTTTCACTGTAGTCCACTCCTGGACGTTGCGAACAACCTTTGGCCACAAGTCTAGCCTTATATCGTGATGAATTGCCTTCGTCTTTGATACTAAACACCCACATGGAATTGATAGCTTTTCTTCCTTGAGGGAGCTCGCTAACCAACGTCCAAGTGTTGTTTTCAATCAAAGCACTGACCTCTTCATCAACAGCATGCTTCCACTTGTGCCAATCATCCCGCTCTTTCAATTCCTGTATGGTTTGTGGTATATCCTGAGAGTGATGAGAAGACAGAAGACTTGTCTCATAATCGCGTAGCCAAATTGGTCTTTTCACCATCCTTTGACTTCGGCGAGTAGCCTCACTTGCATCTTCATATTCATCCGAGCTTTCTATATCCACAAATTCATCTTCATCACTTTCTGATTCAGTATTTACTTGATTAGGACTTGTATTAACCTCTGGCTCGATTGGTATTTCATGGTACACCTCAACTGAAGGTAAATCGTTATGCTTTAGTTCTTCATCTTTATCAAAATAAAAGGTAAACTCGTCAAATTTGACATCCCTAGAAATGACAATATTCCGATTTGTCTCATCCCAGAGTCTAAATCCATTTGGTGCATATCCTACCATGACTAAAGCACGACTTCTCATGTCCAGTTTTGTTGTGTGCTCTTTATTTACATGAGCATAAGCAACACAACCAAAAACTTTAAGTTTACTCAAATCCGGTTTAAAACCAAACCACATTTCATGTGGTATTTTTGCAACTGTCAAGGCACTTGTAGGACTTCGGTTAAGAGTGTATGCCGATGCATATAGACGAGTGCACGGATGGATTTGAGTTCACTCACTCGAAAAAAAAGTGACACAACAGCGGGGCCCTGTTTACTAAAAATGAACACATATGTGTTCATTTTTAGTAAACAGGGCCCCGCTGTTGTGTCACTTTTTGTCGAGTGAGTGAACTCAAATCCATCCGTGCACTCGTCTGTGAGGTCTTATAGGAACCTTACTCTCGTGCATAATTGATCTGACTTTATCCATCAGCGTCCGGTTAACCCTTTCACTAACCCCGTTTTGTTGCGGTGTGTAAGGAGTGGTTGGGATCATTTGAATGCCTTTGCTTTTACAGTATTGTAGTACTCACCCCCATTGTCAGACCTCAACTTGGAAATACGTTGAGAAACTGTGCCGTTACCATGGCTTCATATTCTTGAAACTTTAGAAAAACTTCACTTTTATGCTTCATTAGATATACGACTAGGAAATGTGTGTAATCGTCCATAAATGTGACGAAATACCGAAATCCATCATGGGTAGGTTCAGG